AATACTTAGGGTGTATAAATCTGTATAAACATCACTGGCGGCCTTGTGAAGATTGATGGACTCAACAAATCCTTAGAATTTTTAAGTCTCGTCTAAGCTTTACGCCGTAAGCTTTATATCCATGTACCTTTGCACATTTTTACTTTTTTGCACCATCGAAATTTTAAGTCCGGCGAATTACGAGAAAAACATCTAGAAACTAACATCACTCAATAGCCATGTTCCATGGTTTTTTAAAACCAGGACTTTAATGGATACCCTCTGGTGAACTAACATAGCAATTGAAAATGGTCATAGAAATAGTGAGTTTTCCCATGAAAAAAGGTGATTTTCCATTGGATATCCAGGGTGCCATAGGGTGCCCATCTTTCCACAGCCCATTTGACGACCCGCCCTCCGTTTAGCTGGCGCAGGTGGAGTCGCTCCAAGCACTGGCGCTGCAGCAACGCTTCGATGAAGATCTGAAGCCCTTCTTTTTAGCCGTCGGCGTCCACCAGGAGAGGTAACTATCTATTATATATACCCTCTGGTAAACTAACATAGCTATGGAAAATCACCTTTTTTAATGGGACACTCGCTAATATATATATAGTACATAATATAGTACATCTATATAGTACATTAATATACTTAAACCATCAGGGTGGTATTATATAATACCCTCTGGTAAACGTTTACATAGCGAACTGGAAAGATCCACCTTTTTTAATGGGAAAACTCACTATGAATGGTTACACTATTTCTATGACCATTTTCAATAGCTATGTTGAATTACCAGAGGGTAATATATATATATACATACACATGTTGTAATGTATCTCCGTATTTACATTATGTATATATATATATATATCTATATTTATATATATGTATGTTGTAATGTAGCTCTACCATGATATTTGACCAGTTGCAATAATTCCTTGTATATATATATATATGCATTAATGTACCCTCCAGTGTCATCAACCATGGCCAGTACTGGAGGGTAGGGGTTGCTGAAGTCGTGGGGGATACCCAAGTCGCCATGGCTACTAGATTATGGTCATCCATGACCACTGGATGATTGGATATATCCCCCATAGGAAAGCTTCCTATGAGGGAATAAGCTAAATGCGAACATAGCCAGCATTTTGTGATTTTTGTTGTAAATTCAAGTTCGCCAGAATTTATGCATTTTGAGATGAAAAAGGATGTTTTACTCGGACGGTGTACCCTAGAAATTAGGACTTATATTAAAATGCACTGATATTATAAAATCATCATATTCATATTTACCAATCCAGAAATTGTCATTTCTCTTGGCATCCCCAATTTTTCCGACAAGGATACAACCAACCAATGGGAATATTCACAGCCAACATTCGCTGTAGACACACCTCCTTCAGCAGCAGCACTTGTTATCCCCCAGTTATGTTTGGTTCAGTTTTCATCCATCCAACTTGATATATATATATATGTATATATATAAATATACTTATATGTTTCTATATATATATATACATATCATCCTCCGCTAATCAAACGTGGCAATGGGAAATCCCCTATAAATGGAGGGTTTAATGGTAAAATAATCTATAAATAGGGGATTTCCCATTGCCATGTTTGATTACCCGAGGGTATGTATATCCTAGTGATAAAAAGATGTAGCCATCCTTTGGTGGTCGCTAATTTCAAAGCAGGGGAAAGATTCAACTTTTTGGTATGTTAACTTCACTATATGGCTTCATCAGTCAGTCTTTGTCGGAAACTACGCTGCCAAATCCAGAGGTTCACCATAATCTTCGACATTTTCCCTACAAAAGCAGGGGTTGATAAATGTCCCATTTTGGGGATTTGTTTCACATCACTTGAAAAGCCGTATCAGTTGGCGATGAACGATCCCCTTTTTTGTTGGGTGATGTGAAATAAGGACATTACCGCCATTTTCCCTATGAAGTGAGCCATTCAGAAAACATTTCTTGATTGATTCCTATAGGAGGCTCTACTACACATAGGGACAACTCCGAAAACCAAGCAGTACAATGGGATAGGTATTTCCGGACGATTTCTCATGGCTCAAGTGCCATCAATTCCGAAAAACTCCAGGTGACTCCAGGTGACTCCAAGGACTCCCATGGTCCCACTTTGGCAGGAGATGACGCGCCCCGTGCTCCGACAGTTGCTGCAACGACCTCAAGAAGTGATGTCCATGATGCGATGGTCCGGTCTCAATGCCTCGCGGCGCAGGAGATGGAGTTTTGATGGGAGATTTTGATGGGAATATGAAATGAATGACATTCTATTTTACATGTCTGAATACTATGATATTTTATGATATCATATATATATATATATGATATTCTATGCTATTAAAACTGCTATTATGTGATATTCCATGATATTCCATGATAGTAGATGATAGTCTGATTCTTATTTGTTTTATATGGAATTTAGTTTAATCAACCATCTGATAGGATTTTTGAAATGGAGAATGGAGAATGGGCAGTGTCTTTTCACACTGGGGCTTTCTTTTGGCGGCCGTCTATGGATCCGCCCTGTCCTTCATAGCTGATATGGCTGAATGTTCATAAACCCTATGAATTCTCAGAGGTTTTGATCCGATTTCTTTTGCCGAATCAAGGGCGTCTCCGTTTTGTAGACAGGCAGGCATATTTTGGCTGTTGAAACGGGCCCGGTTTGCCAGTTGAAACGCAGGGATACTGTATCGATTCACCCCGCTATTCAGGACAGTTTTCCTCCGGTGTCAGGAATTTCCCCCTTTTTTTTTGAGGCTGAAAGCTGGGAAAATCATCTACCCTCTGGTAATTTAACATAGCTATGGAAAATCACAATTTTTCATGGGAAAATCCACTATAAATCACCATTTTCAATAGCTATGTTAGTCATTACCAGAGGGTATTTCTATGGGCCATAAGATGGTGTATGAATCCATTGCCATGTTTGATGACACCGGTGGGAATCCATTGCCGGTGCCATGGGGTGAAGTAGGCCAGCTGGCCAGCTGCAACTGGTATTGGTCCATGGTTGCTATTTGAGATCCGTGTGTGTTTAGCTTGGGATAGCTTGTAAGGGGCCATTTTGACTGGGATAGCTTGGGACATCACGCAGTCACTATGAATAGTTATCATAGAGTTCGGGATAATTTGTAGCAACCTCAACCCCCACATCTCAGATGAGGGTTCGTCTTAGTACAGATTGTGCCAAATGGCAATCTAAAATTGCTGGCTGGAAAATCCATGGAACCCCCCTTGACAGTAGGTTGCCTTATGTGATCTTGTCTTGATGTCTTCCTGACTTGAATCCTGCACCAGCAGTTTTCATGTGTCGGTTCCTTGCTTTTGTGGTAGTTCATCGTTGTCCCAGCGCGGCATATTCTTTTCCAGTCTCGGCCATGTTCTTGCAACAGCTACGTAGGTCTTGGTTCTCCAACTCTTATAACCCAAGCAGAAGCCAAAAAGATTATTACTAGTGATTATGGATCATTCCCTCGTTCCCTGCTAAGCACCAGTTAGTAAAAAACATCGCCGAATCTGATAATCACAAGCCAATGATAATCCAATCGCCCAATGACAACCCCATCATTGGGCCCCCATTGATTCCCCTCCTCGCGTCGCAGCTCCCCGAGACGTTTCTGCCGATCCAAGGTGGGCGATGTTGAGGACCTTGGGATGTTGCAGACATCCAGCAACTTCAGACCTCCAGAAGCTTGGTATGGCGGCCATTGGAGGAGGGAGATGAGGGATATGGAAATGGGGATATTTCTGACGATAGATGATGATAGATGTAATGTGTATCAGTATCCAACAAAAAAAGGTGATGATAGATGATGTGACAAAGCTGTATAAGCAACAAGAAAGGTATTTCCCCCATGCTACTCTGACAGTTCGCTATGGAAGCTATGGCCGGTGCAAAAAAGCGAAAGACATCATCCCGTTGTAAAAGCATCACACCTTGTGTGGTAAAACCTGGTAAAACAAGTAGATTATAGGGATATGGGGGTATGTATAATATAACAATGGGGGTATGTATAATATATAATCTACTGATTAAAAACACTATGTAAAACACCTTCTTCAGGGGTGCAAATCGACCGATTGTCTAGGTAAATGACTACCACAGTGGAAGGAAATTGGCCATTTGACCTCGATACTTAGCCAACTTCCTTCCGTGTATCTGGAAGGTTGGGAGCAACCCTGACACACCGGGTGGGATTTCATCATCAACCCCTGGCGCAGGTGAGGCCCTCTAGTTCTGTTGGGTTTATGTACCCCCTTGATATAACTATAGTATACAGTATACTATCATATATATATATATATCCCCCTAACCCAAAGCTTCAGCAAGTGATTCAGGATTGGCACGCCGACGACTCCGCGGATGAGAGTACTGATGCTGGCACCACCACCGAAGGCGGAGGCCATTTCAGCCATTGGGGTCGATCTGATAATATGGTAACCCCTAAATCCATGGGTTAATCATGGCTTCAATGGCCATTCCAGGATCCGATTTATTGGAGGTACCGATTCCGTATATGTTTGGCCTATATTTTTCAGGCCTAAATTTCAGGGAATATCCCCCCAATTCATATGGCCAAAAATATGGTACTAAGTTAGTACCTCCATGTATTGGATCCTGGAGATCTCCCATTGACGGTTCATCATCGGCCATTTGGGACTATACTTCACTTTTCAGACACCCCCATAGAGCTGTGGAAATCTGACATATCTCTTTTTGGGGAATACTGAACGATGGGAACTAAAGATTTAACATGACTACTAAAATTCTCGTTGGTTTTGGGGTTGAACGTTTTACCGCAGATTTTGTTGATTCGCACATTTTGCGGTGGTTTTGCACGATATGTTATTTTTCCTACAGTCATATCCCAGTGGGTGTGTCGTCTAAAAATGCAGTATACCCCCAAAATTGCCATTTTGATACAGAAAATGACGACTCACCAGTGGATTTTAGCGGAATCTTATTTTCAGGCAAACCCACACCAACAAACTTAAGGGTTGTTCAAGTCAACATTTTTTCATCCGGATGATTGTGGGGCAAGATCCCATATTTGGCCAGGAGAATCCTTTTTTTATCCCTTTTTTTTTACACTATATACGTATAGCTCCCACAGTTACAAGCTGGTTGGTGGCTTGGAACATTTTTTATTTTTCCATATATTGGTCATAATAATCCCAACTGACTTTCATATTGTTCAGAGGGGTAGCTCAGCCACCAACCAGCAAATTACTTACAAGAATATCCACCAGATGCTTTTAATCCTTCGACTAATTGTTTCAACTTACGCTTCCGTTAGAACCCTGACATCAAACGGGTTTCTCCGAGAAAGCGAAGAAGACGAAATGCCATGCACATCTCCCATTTTCAGACACACCCATATCCATTGATGGTTGAATACCTATAAAACGGCTGGTGAAGATCTTGAATATCCCACTCTATCCCACTCTTCATGAATTTTTCCCGAATGCGTAGCAAGAGTTCCCGTTTCACTCTGGGGGTCTGGGGGTGGAGGGTGTGTTGGCTGAACGTTGCGTTTACACCCACAACCGTTCGCAACCGTTCGCAACCGTTCGCAACCGTCCGCAACCGTGCCCTTGCGGTCGCGTGAGCCCCGTATGGCCGTGCCTATGGCGAGTTCTACAAAAGTGGTCACTTTTGGAGGTTTCCAATGCCGCGTAGCCTCGTTTCGTGTGGCAGGCGTGGCACTTCAACACGTTTCATAACGTGTTGACAGTCGTTTTGTGTGGCAGGCGCAATACTTTTGCGTCGTTTTCAAAAGATGAGTTGCATTTTTCGTGGCAGGCGCAGCACTTTGGCGACCTCCGTCGTCATTTTGCGTGGCAGGCGCATCACTTTAGACGTGTCGTGTTGCGTGTTTTTTGCGAATCGCATTGTCAGGGCTGTGTCAAGTGGCGACAAGGTGCAAATTGCGTGGCGGGCGTGGCATTTTGTGAGATGTACTGAAAATTGACGGAAGCCTCGCACGAAACATCGATTTTGAGGTAGCAATTTTTCAGGTTCATAAGAAAACTTGAAAAAAAAATGTCGATTTTGAAGCTACACAGTGTGAAAAATGGAGGAAGTCTCGCACGAAATGCTCGTTTTGATGCTCCAACGTGTCTCGTCTCGAGTCTCTGGTTTTCTTCTGGCCTTGCCGTGTCCATGGGGGAAATTGCAAAACCTATCCTGTTGCACGGTGTCAAAGCGAGTTGTAGTGTGCTTTTGCGGCAGGCGTGACACTTCGTGACATTTTCATGTGTCTGCAAACGTGTCGAAAGTCATTTTGTGTGGCAGGCGCAATACTTTTGCGTCGTTTTCAGAAGATGAGTTGCATTTTTTGTGGCAGGCGCAGAACTTTGGCGACCTCCGTCGTCATTTTGAGTGGAGGGCGCAGCACTTCGGATGTGTTGCATTGCATGCTCTACACTCCACACTCCACACTTTACACTTTACACTCCACACCTCACGCTCCACCTTTAAACTTTAAATTTTACACTCCCCACACTACACTCTACACTCTACACTCCACACTCTACACCCACACTCCACACTTCACACTCCACGCCTTACACTTTACACTCCACACTTTACACTTGACACTTTACACTCCATACCCTACACACGGCACTCCCCACTCTACACTTTACACTCCCCACTTTACACTTTACACTCCACACTTTACACTTTACATACACTCCACACTTTACGCTCCACACTCTGCACTCCACACTTTACACTTTCCACTCCACACTCCAGACTTTACACTCTACCCTTTACACTCCACACTCGACACTCTACACTCCACACTCTTCACTCCACACCTACACTCCACACTCTACACACGACACTCCCCACTCCCCACTTTACACTTTACACTTGACGCTCCACACTTTACACTTGACACTCCACACTTTACACTCCACACTTTACACTTTACACTCCAAACTTTACACTTTAAACAGCGCACTCCACACTCTACACTCTACACCCCACAATTTACACTTTACACTTCGCACTCCGCACTCTACACTCCACACTTTACACTCCACACTCCGCGCTCAACACTCTACACTCCACACCCCACACTCTAAATTCCACACTCTACACTCTACACTTTACACACTCTACACTTTACACTCCACACTCTCCGCTCCACATTCTACACTCCACACTTCACACTCCACACTCTACACTCTACACTTTACACTCCACACTTTACACTCCACACGCCACCCTTTACACTCTACACTCCACACTTTACACTCCACACTCTCCACTACACTTTACACCCCACAGTTTACACTCCACACTCTACACTCCACACTTCACACTCCACACTCTACACTCGACACTTTACACTCCACACTTTACACTCCACACGCCACCCTTCACACTCTACACTCCACACTCTACACTCCACACTCCATACTTTACACTCCACACTCTACACTTTACACTCTGCACTCTACTTTTTACACTTTAAACAGCGCACTCCACACTTTACTCTCCACACCCCACACTTCACAGTTTACACTTTACACTTTACACTTGACACTCCACACTTTACACTTGACACTCCACACTTTACACTTTATACTCCACACTTTGCACTCCACACTCTACGCTCTACACTCTACACTCCACACTCTACACTCCACACTTTACACTCCACACTTTACACTCCGCACTTTAGACTTCAGATGCTATACTTCACACTCCACAGTCCACACTCCACACACTACACTCCACACTCCGCACTCTACTCTCCACACTTTACACTCCACACTCTACACTCCACACTCCATACTTTGCACTCGACCCTCTTCCGCATTGCGCAGTCTACAGTGCACTGGTACGGTAACAGGGGAAAAATGTAAAAGACTGTTCAAACAACTTGTTCACAAAAGTGTTCTATGTGACTGCATTCGGGGTCGTGGGCTGTATCTTGTTTGGCTCAAATCTGCGCAAGATCATCACTTTCCATCTTGAAATCACCATTTCCCCTAGGAAAATAATCATTTTCCATCTCAAAAATCACCAGTTTCCTTGGGAAAATCATCATTTGCCCTGGGAAAATTTCCAAATTTCCAAATTTTCCCCAAGAAAATCACAAATTTTCTTTGGTCAAATCCTGCGCAGGCCTTGAGCCCGACTTTCAGCCTCCCCGCCATGCGGGGGGACCGCGCCCTCCACCGGCCATACGCAGTTCGGAGGTGGGGTTCACATGGTGAGTTTTGCAGCAAAACATGTGAATTTTCAGGTGATTGATGGCGATTTTTGTGGGATGAGATGGGATTGTTACTAATGGGATTCTGGGTTTCTTTCTGGATTTTTTATGATTATTTAATGGGATTTACAGGGACTTATTGGGATTGGTATGGTCTTTTCCTGAGATTTAATGGGATTTTGATAGCGACGTTGGTGCAAATAGCGCCACGAACTATGGTTAAGTTAAGGGTAAATATGTCTTTATGGGCTTTGGAAATCAGCTTGTAACTGAGGGGAGGGCCATGTTGTATTTCTTTTTGGTTGATTTACCTGGCAAACATCGGGGATTAGGTTATAAGCGGTTGATTTTTTGGTTGGTTGGTTGCTTGCTTGTTGGTTGATGTGCTGATTATATCTGATTATTATTAGATACCTGTTGGGCTTTTTCCCGGCGGGGCCTCAAAATTGGTGCAAATTTAAAAACGGTACAATGTGACTGACGACGTCCTAGACCTTTGGATCTAAATATGAACGATTAATGCTATACCTAACAGTTACCCTCTGGTAATTTAACATAGCTATAGACAATCACAATTTTTAATAGGTAAACCATCTAGAAATGGGCCATTTTCCATAGCAAACTGTTAGTTTACCAGAGGGTAGTTGATCATTGCGGGTCATACCTTTTGCTTCAAGTTTTCTTGAATTGGGATTGTTACAACGAACAAAAGGAGACCTTTCTTTACCATGCTTGGTGCGCTATTCGCCCATATGATGGTGATTGAAGAATGGGTGATCCTATTTCCAGACATGCCCATATCAGGGTTATGTATACACATATATATATATATATTTATCATGTAATACAATATAATATAATACACTATAATAATATAATATCGTAAAATATCATATCATCTAGTATAGTATAGTATAACATAACATGATATAATATAATATGATATAATAAAACATAACATAATTTAATATGATATAATATAATATAATTTGATGTAATGTAATATAATATATGATATCATATAATGTAATATAATATAATATAATATAATTCGAATATATATACATATATATATATACACACACATGTGTGTGTAGTATATATGGTCCCGTCCTCCGTCTCTCCACGCCCCCAATGGGTTGGGTCCCCAGGTAGCACCCCCTTCCTTTCTATTTGCAAGCTATTGGCAGCATTTCTGAGGTCCAGCTTCGTATTTGCTAGGTCTTTGCAGCA